CCTGCACGGCACACACGAGGTGGGGGGAGGGGGTGGAGGTGGTGGCACGGGGAGGGGGCTCACCAAGGGAGTGGGGGGAGGAGGGGGGAGAGGGGTGGGGAGAGGGGTGGGGCGGCGACGCTTGCTGGGGCTGAAGGGCCGATCGGTGGCATACCTACGTGCTGACAGGTGAGAGTGTAGGGAGTAAGAGTGTGGGGAGTGACTATAATTTGACTAAAGGAGAGACATATGGCTTTTGAGCTGACAAAATGTAAAATTTCTGGGGTTGAAGGGCCGATCGGTCGCATACCTACGTGCTGACAGGTGAAGTGTGGGGAGTGAGAGTGTGGGGAGTGAGAGATTTGAGGGTAAGAGTGTGGGGTGTGATTATGATTTGACTCAGAAGTAATTTTTCTGAAGCTCATGAATCCACTCTGTGACATACCTGCGTGCTGATAGGTGTGAGGAGTGAGAGAGTGGGGAGTGAGAGTGGGGAGAGTGAGAAGTGGGGAGTGAGAGTGTGGGAGTGAGAGTGTGGGGAGTGAGAAGCGGGGGTGCGAGTATGGGAGTAAGAGTGTGGGGAGAGAGTGAGAGGAGCGATAGTGTGGGGAGTGAGAGTGTGTGGAGTTACACGAGCCGGGTGGGCCCGGGTCGGCTCAGTTCTGGTCGCATCGGGTGGGGGGGTTGCGTCTCAAGCCATCTGTCTGGCGAGCCACGATTGACTGGACTGGAGTACATAGGAGGGTTCACAGGGGGGAGCCTGTGCGTATTGATGTGTGGAGATGCATGAAGATGAGAGAAGATGGGTGGGGTTGGGATGAGATGTGTGTGAGATGAGGAGAGGAGAGGAGAGGAGATGAAACGAGAGTGACACTTTCAGCCTAAAGAGACGTACAAGGGACCGGTCACCATCTCAGGTTAGTAATCTTTTTGTCTACTCATTAGTCACGAAAGCTTTTCACTCTTCATTGTATGGCACGAGTTGAATCGAGTCAGATCGACATTAGACTGATTGCGTGCTATCATTAGGCTTAGGTCCGACGTTGAGAAAAAGGGGGAGAGCCTAGTCAAGTCGGCGAGACGAGTCAAATCCTTCCCCCATTTCTCAACATCGGATCTTCCCCTTTTGAGAATTCTCTGAAGGATCTTCCCCTTTTGAGAATTCTCTGAAGGATCTTCCCCTTTTGAGAATTCTCTGAAGGATCTTCCCCTTTTGAGAATTCTCTGAAGGATCTTCCCCTTATGAGAATTCTCTGAAGGAACTTCCCCTTTTGAGAATTCTCTGAAGGATCTTCTCCTTTTGAGAATTCTCTGAAGGATCTTCCCCTTTTGAGAATTCTCTGAAGGATCTTCCCCTTTTGAGAATTCTCTGAAGGATCTTCCCCTTTTGAGAATTCTCTGAAGGATCTTCCCCTTTTGAGAATTCTCTGAAGGATCTTCCCCTTATGAGAATTCTCTGAAGGATCTTCCCCTTTTGAGAATTCTCTGAAGGATCTTCCCCTTTTGAGAATTCTCTGAAGGATCTTCCCCTTTTGAGAATTCTCTGAAGGATCTTCCCCTTATGAGAATTCTCTGAAGGATCTTCCCCTTTTGAGAATTCTCTGAAGGATCTTCCCCTTTTGAGAATTCTCTGAAGGATCTTCCCCTTTTGAGAATTCTCTGAAGGATCTTCCCCTTTTGAGAATTCTCTGAAGGATCTTCCCCTTTTGAGAATTCTCTGAAGGATCTTCCCCTTTTGAGAATTCTCTGAAGGATCTTCCCCTTTTGAGAATTCTCTGAAGGATCTTCCCCTTTTGAGAATTCTCTGAAGGATCTTCCCCTTTTGAGAATTCTCTGAAGGATCTTCCCCTTTTGAGAATTCTCTGAAGGATCTTCTCCTTTTGAGAATTCTCTGAAGGATCTTCTCCTTTTGAGAATTCTCTGAAGGATCTTCTCCTTTTGAGAATTCTCTGAAGGATCTTCTCCGCCAACGTGCGATGAGACAAGTCAAGACTCCCCTCGCTTGCTCGTGGGTGTTGTGGTGGCCATGGTGACCATGTGACCATGACTTACTATGTTGAAAACACTTTTGAGAATTCTTTAAAGTGATTCCAACGTTGTGTGGTGGCCATGGTGACCGCGATTTACTATGTTGAAATCACTTTTGAGAATTCTGTAAAGTGATTCCAACAGTGTGGTGGCCATGGTGACCGTGACGTGACTTGCTGCAAGGCCCCTCATTATCCCCCTTCGCCTTCCCTTCCGCCCTGCACCTTTACTTCCACCCTCCCAAAACCCCCCCACCTCTCGCCCTCCTCTACTCCCCCCCCACCTTCCCACTGCCCTCCAGCTCGGGCCTTCTTGCGTCACCGGTCTGGCTGCCAGCGCTGCAGCAGCTGGGTGTGAGCAAGGGGCACGCGGGCAGGCAACGCGGGGACTCGGGTGCAGGGGAGGGGGATGAGGTGAGCGAAAAATAACCAGCAGCATAGACCGTAACGATTTTTCTAAGTGACTTTTGAGTCGACTCAAAAGGCATCTAATACCCAGCAGCATGGACCATAATGATTTTTCTGGGAATTCTTCAGGCGCCTCAAAAACAATTTTAGAGGGGCCTAAAAAACCAGCAGCGGGCTGTAATGATTTTTCTGAGTATTCTCACAAGTGAGACCAATTTGGCATGGACCGTACTAAGACCTGCCTTCCGTTTTGGAGGTGCCCTTAAGATTGTTTTTTGCATGGACGGTATAAAAACCTATCCTGTGTTCCGCAGGGTTTGAAGTTTAGGGTGTCCTGTGTCCACTGCTCCCCATCCCTCCATGCTTCCTGCCCCCATTCCTTCTCCCTCCCACCCTTCCTCCGCTCCCTCTCCCTATTCACCCCGGTCTCCCACCGTCAGGCCCTCTTCCTTCCCCCGGCACTAACGGACGAGCTCGCCGCCTCTTCAACGCCTTTGCCCACCGATTCCGATGCGCCATCGGTGCTCCCATGCCTGCAGCACACCATGCCACCTCCGGTGCTGCTTCTAGTGCTACCGCTGCTTCTGTGGCAAGAACTGGGGAGGCAGCAGCAGCAGGGGCAACAAGGGCAGCAGGGGCAGCAGGGGCAGCAGGGACAGTAGGGGAAGCAGCCATCCCCATCCCCATGCCTCGCATGCCCCCGCACTGGCCAGTGCTGTACCTTCTGCTGCATGCATGCGACAAGCTCACATTGTTTGGCCTTATCCGCAACGCCTCCGTGCACGTGCTACAGAGGTGGGTCTCCTCGATTGATCCAGCTCTGCTCTGGAAAAGGCCATGTTACTCGAATGTTGAGAGTCCACTCAAAAGTTTTACCTCTATCTGTATCTCATTTCCCATCCTCGCCTCCCGCCCCGTGCGCATGCCCTCTCGCTCTGCCCACGGCCCCACCAGCGCCATAGAGCGGCTCGTACTAGAAAGAACCCCTGTGGCAGGCTCAAACGTGCACCCAACCCCCTCCTCACCTCCTAGTCACACTTCTCCCACCTCTACTCCCTTGGCTCCCGCCCTTCCCACCAGCCCCATGCACGTCCCCTCAGTGCCCTCAGAGCTGTACCGCCGCCCATCCCTGCTGGTGCTGGAATTTATTGCTTCCGTTCCTTCTTTCCCCTCGCCCATCCCTTTCTCCCAGCCCCATGCACATGCCCTCTGTGCGCTCAGAGCTGCATCGCCGCCCATCCCTGCTGGTGCTAGAGTCGCTGCTGCATGCACTGGCACGCACCAACCTGCTCAGCTGCTGCGGGGGCATCGAAGACCACTTCTGCCGCCTGCCCCCGCTGCTGCGTGGGGCAGGGAGTGGGGTTGGAAAGGGGGAGGTGGCTTCTGGTGCAGGTGGTTTTGATGCAGGCATGGCTGGGGGGAGTGTGGCTGGGGATGGTGGGGGGATGGTAGAGCGAGGCTTGGGGAAGGGAGGGCAGGAGAGGCGAGGAGAAGAGCGTATGGCACAGAGGCGTGAGAATACTTGGAGTTTTGCTGGTGGTGATACTGCTGATGCGAGGGGGAATACTGGGAGCACTGATCTTGGCCAAAGATCTGTTAACGAGGAAGACTATGATGAGGATGAGGTGGATGGCAGAGGGAAGACAGGGAAGGTGGTGGGGGGACAGGGCGCAGTGGAGGGGGCTGGGTGGGGGGATGAGTATGGTGATGAGGGGGAGGAAGTGGGGGAGGAGGGGGAGGGGGAAGGGGGTGGAGAGGGGATGGGTGGGGGGGAAGATGATTATGAGTATGATGATGACTACTATGGGGCACCTATTGAGGAGCTGATGAGTGACTTGGAGCATGCCAATGCGGCACATGCCCAAGAGGTGCAACAAACAGATGCGTGAGTTACCGCACTTGTGCTTGTCATTGTGATAGGGGAAGAGATTAGCACGCCTCAGGGCGCAATTTTGTTAGGGGTTGGAACCAATAACCTTCTTTTGCTGGGTGTAGATTTGAGTGACAATAATTCGGTGAACAACAGCTCTATCCTCGTTTGTCCTCGCGAAGTCAACGCTACTCCCCTGCTGAGCTGGTGTGGATCTTGCCACGTCAGGAAGATCTGAGAAGGGGGTGAGATGGGGGATTCTGTTCTGTTTGCGTCAATGTTGTTTGGGTGCTTTGACGGGGAAAGACTCGGCCCGATAAGAAACCGTTACGAAGCTCGAATGTTGACGGAAACTGTTGCTCTCTCAACTTCCTTTCTGGAATCCCTTCCCTCATCCATGCTTCAACTTGACATACATCCTCTGGTCCAGTACTTTCACTTCACTGGCTCGAATGCTCGAAATTTCAAGATTTCAGGATTTCCATATTTCCTGATTTTCAAATAACGTCGCCATTCACCAAGTTGACGCTGCGCCGTTTTTCGACTTCGACACCCTTCAGACCTGGCATTGCTGTCGGAAGTAGGAGTGTTTGTTCTCGCCGCGCATTCACACTGACATCGAGGCATTCCGTAGAGCGTACACGCGGTAGCTCGTTCGACCCATTTGCCCGCGCGCAATCATGGCCGCCCCGCGCGAGGTATTCGTTATAGGCACAATGGACACTAAATCCGAGGAGCTCCTCTTCCTCGCGTCGCAGCTCAAACGGTCCCTTACCTCCTTAACCACGGCCGAACCGCCATTTTCCATCTCTATAATCGACGTCTCCGCGTCTCCGTCATCCGCGGCTCCCGTTACAAGCACAACATTCCCTACAATCTCCGTCTCCGACGTCCTCGCGTCGAATCCAGGCGCCGCCGCGAAATCCGCCGCGTCTCTCGCCGCGGATCGCGGAGAGGCGGTGCAGGCGGTGAGCGACGCGCTGAAGCGCTTCGTGCGGGGGAAGTGGGACACGGGCGCGCTGGCGGGCGCGGCGGGGATCGGGGGGAGCGGCGGAACCGCCATCATTGCGCCCGCGCTTAGGGGACTGCCTGTCGGTGTTCCCAAGATTATTGTTTCCACCGTCGCCAGGTGCGTTGCTATAACGAGGTGTGACTGTAGCGAGTCGCTGATGCCATCCGTAGTGGACTTGGCGCACCCCTCTGAACCCCCTTCACTGAACCCCCGCTTCATTACCCTTTCCCACACCCATCCAATCCCCACATACCACAAAACGCAGCGGCAACACGGCGCCATACGTGGGCACATCGGAGCTGCTGCTGCTGCCATCGGTGGCGGACGTGGCGGGGCTCAACGCCATTCTCCCTCCAACCCCATTGCCTCTCCCCCCCTTCCCAAACACCACCCAACCAGCGGCAACACAGCACCATACGTGGGCACCTCGGATCTCTTATTACTACCATCAGTGGCGGACGTGGCGGGGCTAAACGCCATTCTCCGCGCTGCCCTCTCCTCCGCCGCAGCTGCCCTCGCCGGCATGCTGCTCCTGCGCGCCCTGCCCACCCAACCGCCCTCCACCGCTCTGCCTTCCTCTGTTGGCGCTTCTGCTGCTGCTACTGCGCCGGTTACAGTGGGGATCACGATGTTTGGGGTTACCACGCCGTGCGTTACGGAGGTGCAGCGGCTTCTCAGCAGCAAGGCCAGCAAGGAGGGAGGCGCGGGGTGGGTGGGGGATGCAGGAGGAGTAGGAGAGGTGGAGACGGTGGTGTTTCATGCGACGGGCACGGGGGGAAGAGCTATGGAGGAGAACGTTGCTTCTGGACTCATTCAGGTGCGCTCGCTGCACATACCTCTCTTTACCCGCCCGCTCATCCCCCCTCACCATGCTGCTCACCCGCTCACCGCACTGCTCACCTCCACCCGCGCTGCTAGTTATCAGCACAGCGAGATACGAATCGACTTGCCGAGATCATTGTGGGCTGGGCGGCACCCTGGCCCGTCCGCGTGCTGGCATCGTCACAAACATCCCCACAAGTAAGTCTATCACCATAGTGAGTCACAACACGCACACCCTCGCCTCCTCCGCTCCCCTCTCTCAAACGGTCCTTTGTATAATATCAACCACTCTCTCTGACTCCCCAGGCAACACAGGTAGCAGACCTTCTATTGGGCGCCACACTTTTGAGTTGACTGAAAAATAGGCCCAGGCAACACAGGTAGCAGCAGACCTTGTATTGGGTGCCACCGCAAGCTGTCTGCCCACTGGGCTCGTGCGAGTCACTCCAAGCTCACCCTTCCCTCCCCCCTTTACCAGCCGGTACTGCACATCACGACAACCGAGGTGAAGGACTTGGTAGTGGGCGGCACCATGGCGTGCCTGCAGTTCACAGTATTGACAGTCACTTCAGCCACACCCCTCCCTCCCCACCCTGTTCTGGACGTCACGACAACCGAGGCAGCGGACTTTGTAGTGGGCGGCACCATGCTGCCGTGCCAGCTCACCACATTCCTGAGAGTCACATCAGCCACGCCCCTCTCTTCCCACTACTCCCCCCTCCCCAGGCTGTGCTGGACATCACAACAACAGAGGTGGCGGACTTCATAGTGGGCGGCACCATGCCGTGCCTGCCCACCAGGTTTGACGCCGCCATTCAGCACAAGGTGCCCCTCGTGCTCAGCCTGGGGGCGCTCGACATGGTCAACTTCGGAGAAGCTTCCTCCGTGCCCAAGGAGTTTGACGGGCGCACCCTCCACGTGCACAACCCACAGGTATGCCTGTCTGGTTATTTTCTGGTGCACACACCCCCAGCCAGGTACGATTGTGAGGTCATGGGCGGGCAAGGGGTAGGATTGTAGTGAGATAACGGAAGAGGAGGTTCAACGAAAGAGAGAGTTGATTGAGCCTGAGACAGGAGTTAATAAGGTGGAGAGTTCATAGAGAAAATCTCAGCGAAACGTGCAATGCAAGAACTCCCTGTTGAGGTGTATGTTTCCTTTGGCTAGTCTATCAAGCAATTGTGGACCTTTGGTGTGTGTCTGTGCAGTGTCTCCCTCTTCCCCCCTCAGAAGTTCCGCCCCTTCTCCTGATACTCACGGCCCCCAGGTCACCCTCATGCGCACAACGGCTGACGAGAACCGTCGGATCGCGCAGTTCATCGCGGACAAGATGAACCAATCGCAGGCGCCCGTGACACTACTAATACCTGAGGGGGGCCTGTCCGCTCTAGACGCCCCGGGCATGGCCTTTTGGGACCCCGCTGCCGACGCTGCTCTGTTCGATGAGCTGGAGAAGCAAGTGGAGCAGACAGACAGCAGGAAGGTGGGTACGAAGTGGTGATGACGGTTGAAAGAGATAGAGTGCGGTACAGGTCGGTTCAGAGTGGGGGGCCTGTTGGCCCTGAACGCCCGGGGCATGGCCTTCTGGGACCCTGCTGCCGACGCTGCTCTGTTCGAGGAGCTGGAGAAACACATGGAGCAGACAGACAGCAAAAAGGTGGGTACGGTTAAGGGTGGGAGGGATAGAGTGCGGTGCGGATGTGTACAACAGAGTGGAGTGGTGTTTGTGGAGTTGTGCGGCCAATGCTGGTCTGTTTGGAGATCATAAGCGAGAGGCGTTGCTGATGGCAACAGAAGAAGAAGGCATGGTGCTAGTTATCATCTTTTGAGGCGAATCAGAAGTCGCCGCACGGTGCTGATTATCATCCACACAGAAGGACAATGGATGGTGTGTGCGGAGGCGATGGGTGGTGAGGGAGATGGGTGGTGAGGGAGATGGGTGGTGAGGTTAGGGACTCAACCTCTCACTCTCACTTCCAACCTTCTCTCAACACCCATTCCCTCTTCCCACTCCCTCCCCTCTCGAACGGTCCGTAAGGCAACATCTACACACAGAGCTAAAGTAGCAATCAACTAACCTAGCACAACAACAACCGCCCCTTCCCCTTCCGGCCCTAGTGGCCGGAGGGGTCTTCTATTAGTTGGTACAGCTGGCCCTCGCTCAGTGGAGTGAACGGGCCCTGCAGGCCTAGCACATCCGCGGTGAGAGCCTCATTCATGGGTCTTATCCCTGAGGGCGTTGGCTTGGGCTCTCTGCAGGGTCACGCTCCATCGCTGCCGGTACTCGGTGCGTAGCTTAGCCACCTCCCTCGACTTTGGGGCAGCGTTAAACCGCCGCTTTGCCGCTAGCTCCGCGCAGCTGGGAAGGAAATCGAGAACTCCAGGCGAGGGGTAGCCGTAAGTCTCAACAGCCTTGGCATAAAAGCCCACCCACGCGCTCCGCCCGGCGTATTTGGTCTCCTTCTTGTCCGCCTGCATCCTAGCAGCCCACCCGGGCGCTTTACGGGCGTGCTCGTCCTGGTGGGAGACGGGGTCTATGACTGTGATGTCACAAATCCACACTGCACCGGTGTTGGGATGGCGGATAGAGTATGCCGTTGTCTCCTTGTGCACTGTGAAGCCTGCTTCAGCCGCTATCTTCGCGCACTCATCTCGCAACGCATTGTGAGTGGCGATTCTCCCCCCCCCCCTTTCTCACACCGCATCAGGTGGTTCGGCAGGCGGTCATCAGGGAAGGTGGTGCGGTATCTGCAGTTGCAGCGTCTTGGCACAGGTACGGGCAGGCCTAGGCGGAAGGAGGCCGCAGTGGAGAACTGCGAGGGTCCGAGGCGGAGGGAAGAGATCAAGGGGACGGCGAGCAGCCAGTCCCCCACCCCCGGGCCTAAGAGGGACTGAAGCCTCTGCGTATGGCCGGACAGCGGGTTCAAGTCCATGTTCCGTGAGCTGTCCAGCAGTCAAATATAGCGGGCTGAGTGCACCGCGAGGGAGAGAGCCTGCTGGATTTTAGGCCCGTCCGGCTTCTGTCTCCCCGTCTGCAGAGCCTCGATTCCATCAGGCGGCAACTCGGCTTCCAGGGTAGCAAGGCGTCTCGGGAGGAGGGAAGCGGATTCTCCGTCAGCATCCATCAGCGGCAGGAGTGCTGTTATGGCCGGGTTTGCCAAATCGCCGAAGGAGCGCAGTAGGTGGGCTTCGGAGACGACCAAAGCCAGGTAGGCGTATCTCCCTTCCACTGCAGGGTTGGTGATGCCGAGTCCTCCCAGGGACGCGGGCAGGGCGGCCTGGTGCCAGATCCTGTCCCTCTCTGCCCGGTCCCTGGGGATCCTTGTGTGCGCAGCGGCCTGGTAGGTGAGGAGCAGTTCTTCCCCCCACGCGGACCATTCCCCCCACGCGGACCATTCCCCCCACGCGGACCATTCCCCCAACGGAAAGGCCTCAGGTGGCGTGGCTCTGGCCAGGAACGAGGCGCGGCGGCTCACGCAGTGTGTGAGCAGTAGCAGGCAGAGTTGGGGGTCCATCTGGGGGAGGAGCGTGAGTGGTTCGGCAGCTGCAGCAAGACGTTCGCGTATTCGTGCCGCACTGCCGGTGGGGTGCCCAATGGGGCTGCCTAGGACGCGGAAACCGTCCAGGGAGATCGAGATGCCAGCGGGTAAGGTGGCGGGTTCTAGTGCAGCTGCGGACCACGCCTCGCATTTCGCCGGGTTGTGGGCCAAGCCATGACGGCGGAGGGCTTCCGTGAGGTGAGTGAATGCCGCCGTGCAGCTCGCCGCCTCCCCTAGCAGAGTGATGTCATCTGCATACGCGAGAAACACCACGTCCGGATGTGCCGCTGCCGATTGGACGAGGCAAGGGTGGATGCTGGCTGCGAACAGCATGGGTCCCAGCGGGTCACCCTGGCGTACGCCCCGAGCGCTCTGTAGTGGCTCCGCCCCAAAGTCATGGTCGAGATAGAGCACGGATGAGTGGCCGTATGAGAAGCGGACGAGGGGCACCAAGACTTCGAGGTCGGTGCCTTTCAAGCCTTTGAACACTGCCGCACGCTCCACTGCGTTGAAGGCGTTTGCTAGATCAATCTGCATGGCCGTTGCTCCTGGGAACTCCTCCAGGTAGGTGCGCGCGGTTTGTATCGCCGCCTCTATTCCTCCTGCGATTGCTACTCCAAATTGAAGCGGGGTGAAGTGCTCGCGCGCCGCTGGAGCGGCCAGAAAAAGGGCCGCCTTGGCGATGAGGCGATGGGCCGCCTTGGCGATGAGGCGTAGCAGACATTCACCCACAGCTATCGGCCGCGTTCCGCCCTGCGGTTTCGAGAAAGCCAGTAAGCGCGACGCTGTTAGGAGATCTGCCACGTCTGCATTCAGTTTTCCAGCGAGCGCCGTGTTGGTAAGTGCGTGTAGCTGTAGGAAAACGTCTCCGTTCCCAAGGGCCGCGTCTCTCAAGTGCTCGAAGGTAGTGCCTGAGGGCCCAGCCCCTACTCCGTTGGGGCATTTGGCTAGCAGTCGCCTGAAGTCCCGGGCAGCGATGAAAGGGACGGTCTCTGGGGCGAAGTCATGTACCCAGGCTGGGATGGCCGCGGTGGCCTCTGGGTGTCTGGCTGTGAGCGTACTGAGGACTTCAGCGCTCGGCGTGCAGACGGGCATGGCAGTCAGAGTCTGCAGTGATTTCGCCAAGTTCCCTCTTTTTGCCAAACCTTCGGCCCGCGAGAGCTTGCCAGTGACGTCAGGTACGTGGCGTGGTTGGGGATTACTGGTAACCGCGTCAGCTGCCTCGTCGTACAGGTTACGCCATTGGCCTTGGCGAAATAGCAGAACATTCGCTTGCCCCACCACATCAACGATCCTGCCTTGGCTGCATTTTGAGGTGCCAAACTCGATCTCTCTCTCTCTCCACTCCCATTCTCTCGCCCCCCCACTTCCTCCCACCTTATCACGCCCTCGTAGATCATTCGCCTGCCCCACCACATCAGCGACCCTGCCTTCGCTGCTGCCCTCGTCAACGCTCTCCTGCCCCTCCTGCCATCCACCACTGCTCCCGCTGCTGCTGCCCCACCTGCTTCTGCTGCTCCTCCCCCTCCCCAAACCTCCGAACCAGCTTCCGCCACAACCACCCCTGCCCTCTCCACCTCTCCCTCCCCTACTCCACCCCTCTCCACCACACTCAACCCACCTCCTGCCCTCGACCTCACCCCGATCCCCTGGCTGGTCGACCGCCGCACCGCCATCCTGCACTCCCTGCGTTCCCAAGTGGCGGCAGGGAGGGCGATCATAGGGGGCGGGGCGGGCACGGGGATAAGCGCCAAGTGCGAGGAGATGGGGGGCGTGGACCTGATTGTGATCTACAACTCGGGCCGCTTCCGCATGGCTGGCAGGGGGTCGCTGGCGGGGCTGCTGCCGTTTGCCGATGCCAATGCTGTGGTGGAGGACATGGCTAAGGAGGTGCTGCCGGTGAGTGTGATTGCGGTGAGCAGCGGCATCTGATGGTATTTAGAGGTCCTGCTGGTGAGTGCGACAGCATTGCGAGGAGATGGGAGTGCAGAACTTCCCCACAGTCGGCCTCTTCCCCACAGTCGGCCTCTTCCCCACAGTCGGCCTCTTCCCCACAGTCGGCCTCTACGACAGCTCTTTCCGCACCAACCTAGAGGAGACCGCCCCTTCTCTTCCTAAACTCTCACCCCCCTCCCCTCCCCTTCTCTCTCCCCTTCTCCCCCCCGTCCCCCCACCCCCACCCCCACGCCCCCACCTCCACCTCCCGCCACTCCCCCCAGGTAATCAAGTCAGTGCCGGTGCTAGCAGGCGTGTGCGCCACGGACCCCTTCCGCCAGATGCCTCTCTTCCTGCGCCGCCTCGCCGCCCTCGGCTTCGCGGGCGTCCAAAACTTCCCCACAGTGGGCCTCTACGACGGCTCTTTCCGCACCAACCTAGAGGAGACCAACATGGGGTACCCGCTCGAAGTCGCCATGATTAAAACGGCTAGTCTCCTGGGTTTCCTCACGACGCCGTATGCGTTCAACGAGGAGGAGGCGCGGAGCATGGCGGGCGCGGGGGCGGATGTGGTGGTAGCGCACATGGGGCTCACGGCAGCAGGCAGCATAGGGGCGAGAACGGTGTGCTCTCTAGAGGAGGCGGTGGGGCGAGTGCAGCGCATGGCTGATGCTGCTAGAGGGGTCAACCCCAACGTCCTAGTGCTGTGCCATGGTGGTGAGTGGTGCTGTGCGTGCGGCAACTGGGGGGTTAACTGGGGAATGAACGGGCTTTCAACGTGGGGGTGGTATCCTCCCACCCACCTTGACCTCCCTCCACCTTCCTCCCACCTTGACCACACTCCACCTTCCTCCCGCCTTCCTTCTCGTGTTCTTGTTCATGCCACTTTGTGTGCTCCTGCCATGTCCTGCACCCCACCAGGTCCCATCAGTGGTCCAGAGGAGGCGAGGTACGTTCTGCAGAACACGCGGAGGGCGCACAGCTTCTATGGCGCGTCCAGCATGGAGGCCCGTCCCTCATCCATTTCCACCTTGCTTCTCTTGCCCCTGCCAATCCCTGTATGTACCCCGCCAGGTCCCATCAGTGGGCCACAGGAAGCGCGGTACATTCTGCAGAACACGCGGGGCGTGCACGGCTTCTACGGCGCGTCCAGCATGGAACGGCTGCCCGTGGAAACTGCAATCACGGAGAACCTCAAGGCATACAAGGCCATTCGCCTGTCTTCCTAAGCCGTGTGTAAGGAGAGATCCTTTCTGAGACACCTAAAAAGCGCGTCCAGCATGGATGGGGCGCCTGCCTGTGGAAACTGCCATCACTGACAACAGGCATACAAGGCCATTCGACTCGCCTGCCTTCTTAGGTCGTTAAGCCCAGGGGACAATTTTGGAGACGTCTCAAGTATTGGAGCCTTGCATGCATAGGTACTAGTTGGGGATTTGGCGACTGGTTTGGATTGGTATCAACTCAACAATACAATGTCTAGTTTGTGTGTTGATGTACCGTATTTACCTGGCTAATGGACCCCCCTAAATTTATAGACCCCCGGGTCGTTAAATGGGGGGGCGGGGGGGGGGTCTAATGTTATCACCACTTTCATAATAGACCCCACCTTTTGTAATGTATCCCGGATTAGACCCCCTCCACTGTAGAAAGCTCATTTTCGGCAAAACTGTAGCGAGACTCATAGTATCAAGGTAGCGCAAACACTGTTCTGGCTGGAAATTTGACCATGTGCATGTCTCGCGTCAGTGCGTGGTCAAAATTTTCCCGATGCGATATCGAAATGGTGACCTCCCTTATGCTGTAACACTCGTGTTTGTGTTACGGGTGCAATGAATCGAAGTAGTGAGAATTGCACTAAGGTGTCAAACGAGTACAAAATGTGAGCGAAGGCATGAGCGAACATTTATATGCGAAACATGCAAACGGTAACGCGGTGCGTGCGAGCTAGCTAGTGCTATGCTGGAAGCGAGGCTTGGGCTAGTCCCGAAGCGTAGGCCGATACGGCCAGGCCAGCAGTGCGAGGTTTGGTGAAACAGTGCGCGCGAAGTCGGCGAAGCCCCGTTAGCAGTAACGGGCGAACAACGGCTGCTGCTGTACGCGATGTTACAGGGCGCGCTAAGGAATATCGAGAAAATTCTGTCAAACATTCATACTATAGTCTTGCTAGGCTGTAGTGGGGTAGACACTATGGGGTACAGTTTCCTAGGGTTTCATATTTGTACCCAACTCATTTCTAGTCATCATCATTCCTCGTAATTCTTTTCACATGGTATAGAGCGAGTTCCCTAGTGGGAACGTTTTTTTTAAGGGCCCACCACTACGAAAATATTTTTTTCCTTACCTGCCCGGAGCGCGCTTCGCGCCTGCCTTAGTTGCGCCCCGTGCGCCTGCCCCCCCGTCGCCTGCCCTGCCCTTAGAGGCCCGTCGCGCCCCTTACGGCCCCTTCGCGGCCCCTTCTCGGCCCTTCGCGGCCCCTCTCGCGGCCCTTCGCGGCCCCCTCACTGCCCTTCGCGGCCCTCTTCGCAGCCCTTCGTGGCCCCCTCACGGCCCTTCGCGGCCCCTTAGCGGCCCTTCGCGGCCCCCTCACGGCCCTTCGCGGCCCCCTTCGCGGCTCTTCGAGGCCCCCTTCACGGCCCTTCGCGGCCCCTTCGCAGCCCCGCCCCGTCGCCTGTCGCGGCCTGCCCTGCCTTCGGCGCGGCCCTCCTCTGCTCCGCTCGTCGACCCGCCGCTGCGGCCCCACCCTGCCCCTCTCGCCGGTCGCGGCCTCCACCTGCAGCAGCAGCCGAGGAGCCCTGCAGCAGCTGCTGTCCCTGCCGCCGCCGCCGAGGCTGCCTCCGCCGGTGTGACGAGCCGCCGCCGCCGCTGCCTTCGCTTCTGCCCCGGCCCTGCCCTGCAGCCGAGCCGCGGCCCTGACCTGCCGCCCAGTTGCGGCCTCGACCCTGCCGGCGCACCACGGCCCTGCCCCACCAGTAGCGGCCTCCCTACCCACCCGCCCCTGGTAAGCGCACCGTCGAACCGCGCCGCCCTGCCTAGCCGAGCCGCCCTGCCTAGCCGCGCCGCCCTGTCGAGTCGCGCCACTACTGCTGCTCCTGCTGCTCTTACTGCTCCTGCTACTGCTGTCATGGCTGCCCCCAACGTACTCAAATTCGATGCTGAGGGCCGAGCGGTAGATTTTGAGGTCTGGGTCGATGATCTACAGCTGTTCCTGCAGTGCGATAGCAAAGATCAGGTCTCGCTTTTTGATCTCACGTCTGGCGCCTCTGCTGCACCTGCTGCCACTGCTGACAGTGCTGTTCGCTCGCAGTGGACCACGCGCGATGCTGCTGCCCGCCTTGCTATTCGTAGTCACCTGTCGTCTGCTGAGCGCGCGCACTTTAGTCAGTACAAGACCGCTAGGACTCTGTACGACGCTGTTGTTGCGCGCTACTCCTCCCCTGCCACTGCTGCCCTTAGTCGCCTCATGCTGCCGTACCTGTTCCCTGACCTAGCCGCTTTTGCCACAGTCGCTGACCTCATTACCCACCTCCGCACTAGTGACACCCGCTACCGCGCTGCGCTTCCTGCCGAGTTCTGCGCCAAGAACCCCCCCCCTATGTACATCACTCTCTACTACCTCGTCACCCGGCTCCCTGACTCCCTTTGCTCGGTCAGGGACCACTTCCTCTCCCTCTGCCCCACCACGCTCACCGTTGACCTCCTCGAGGAGCGCCTCCTTGCAGTTGAGAAGAGTATCGTCGCTGTAGGGGCCTCTCGTGGTGACCCTCGCGCCCCTTTCTTTGAGGGGTGCTCCCCCTCTCCCCTCTTGCCCTCTGTTGCCTCTGCTGCTGCTGTCGACCTCGTTGGCACCGAGTCGGTCGGCGCTGCGTCTACTCCTAGTGGGAGGCGCCGCAACAGCAAGGGCAAGGGGGGCAAAGGGGGTGGAGGGGGCGGCGGGGGCGGCGGTGGTGGCGGTGGAGGTGACGGAGGGGGTGGGGGTGGGGGTGGAGGTGGGGGTGGGAGTGGTGGCTCGGGTGGGGGCTTCGGTGGCGGCGGTGGAGGTGGAGGCGGCGGAGGCAGCGGGAGTGGGGGTGGAGGTGGCGGCGGCGGAGGCGGAGGTGGGGGTGGCGGGGGCGGTGGTGGGCAGCGGGGAGGCGCTAGCGGTGACCAGCGCCAGCAGCAGCAGCGCTCCCGTGAGACCCTGTCGCCTCAGCAGCTCCGTGAGTGGTATGCTGGGCGTGGGAGGTCTGGGGGTGCTGGTCCCTGCACTTACGTTCTTCGCACCGGCGACCGCAGTGGAGAGACGTGCGGCGGCCCGCACACCACACCTCGCTGCTTCGGCCGCCTGACTGTCGCCTGGCGTACACAGTTCCCTGGCTCTGCTGAGATCCCTCGCTGGGATATTCTGCTTAAGTCGGGGGTTGCTATCTTTGATCTTGACTATGATGCTATCCTTGCTGCTATGTATGCTGTGTCTATTAGTGCTGAGGGTGACTGTTACCTGTGTGTTCCGCCCGACCCGGGCATTGAGGCTGCTGCGCTAGGTGCTAGTGCGTCTACTGCTCCAGGTGTTGGTGAGACTGCTCTCTCAGGTACCGCGTCGGCTCAGGTCTTACACACTTTTACCCTTGACTCGGGTGCTTCCCGCTCCTTCTTTCGCGACTGCACCACACTCTCGCCGCTCAGTTGGCCTGTGGTTGTCTCTCTGGCTGACCCCTCTGGGGGACCAGTTGTGGCCCATTCCTCCACTGTTCTCCCGTGTCCTGCGGCTCCGTCCGGCTCGCTGTCTGGTTTTCACCTCCCCTCGTTCTCTACGAACTTGGTGGCGGGTGCTGATCTTCAGGATGGGGGTGTTCACCAGTTCACCCCTGCCTATCAGCGTGTGACACACTGCACGTGTGCTCGGACGGGTCGTCACCTGGCCACGTTTACCCGTCGGCCAGGGTCCAGCCTGTACACCCTTACCACTGAGTCTCCTCCTGTCACTGCGACTGGTCAGGTAGCCGCGTCGGGTAAGGTGTTTGCTGCAGCGTCCCGGTCTGGCCCTGAGTCTGCCCCCTGCTCGTGTCGCCTCCTGTCTCACGAGACTCTCCTTTAGCACCACCGCCTTAGTCACCCCTCCCTGCCTCGTCTCAGAGGCATGGCCTCCCGTGTCCTTATCTCTAGTCTCCCCCCTTCCCTTCCTCCTCTTCCTCCGGGGCCTGCCCCTACCTGCGTTCCCTGCGTCGAGGGTCCTCACTCCTCCGAGTTTCCTCCGACAGAGGCTCCCCTGCAGACTCTTCACATGGACGTGTGGGGCCCAGCCTGCGTCCGTGGACAGGGTCACGAGCGCTACTTCCTGCTGGTTGTTGACGACTACTCGTGTTACACCACAGTCTTCCCCTTGCGCCGCAAGGGTGAGGTCACTGAGGTGTTGATCGACTGGATCCGTGCTGCTCGTCTCCAGCTCAGAGAGAGTTTAGGCTCGGACTTTCCTGTTGTGCGTCTGCACTCAGACAGAGGTGGAGAGTTTTCCTCCGACCTTCTGCAGGCCTACTGTCGGGCGGAGGGCATCCGCCAGACGTTCACGCTTCCGGCCTCTCCACAGCAAAATGGGATTGCTGAGCGCCGCATTGGCATAGTCATGGATGTCGCTCGTACGTCTATTATCCATGCGGCTGCTCCCCATTTTCTGTGGCCGTTCGCGGTTCAGTACGCGGTGCATCAGCTCAACCTCCAGCCCCGGGTCTCCATGCCGGAGACCACTCCCACTCTGCGGTGGACGGGGAAGGTTGGCGATGCGTCTGCTTTCCGTGTCTGGGGATCTCGAGCTTTCGTCCGCGACTTGTCTGCGGACAAGCTGTCCTCCCGTGCCGTTCCCTGCGTCTTCCTTGGCTTCCCTCCTGACGCGCCTGGCTGGCAGTTTTACCACCCCACCTCGCGCCGTGTTTTGTCCTCTCAGGACGTCACGTTTGACGAGTCGGTTCCCTACTACCGTCTCTTCCCCTACCGCACTGCCCCCCTCCCCCCCCCGCCGCTCTTCCTCGTGCCAGGTCCTCCCCAGGTAGACCCCCTCCCCCCTCAGGGTCCTGCCCCCTCAGGTGTGTCCCAGGTAGACGCAGTCGAGCTTGTCAAGGTAGCTCTTAACTCTGGTGCTGCTAGGGGTGCTGAGCCTGCGGGTGCTGGGTCTGGGGGTGCTGAGCCTGAGCGTACGGAGCCTGGGGGTGCTGAGTCTGGGGGTGCTGAGCCTGGGGTTGCTGCATCTGGGGGT